CTCAAGAGCTATGATTTAAAATCATAATCTGCATGATATAAGTTCCAAATAATCAACACAGAAAACAAATAGAAATGTGATAGGAAAAAATCCTTTCTAACAAAGTGAGACTGTATCATTGGAAAACATACGAAATACAGAAAATGTAGGAGCTAATGCTCCCGTTCAAGGAGGACACCTTTAGCCCCAAGCTACAAGCCTAAAAATTGTTATGGGATTCACACAATCCCTTCTCCCTCCAAACAGATATAAGATATGTTTGTTCTCTCTCTCTCTTCTCTGACTAACTTGTTATATACAGTACATGTTATTACCTCCCTAAAGTGGGCATTGAGTTTTTGTTGAGCCCCTTCCTGTTACAAAATGCATAATTTGTTATGATTTGTAACAGTTGTGGATTCTTACAATATAGTTAACTACTTTCTAACCATGCAGATGCACAAGGTGCTGATTCCATACTTTATAGCACTGGCTGTGACACCCCCTACTCACAGTCTTGAGGGGACGTTGCTGGTATGATTATTTCATCTTCTCTATTAATAGGAAAGTAAGCATATAGTACAAATATTACTTCTCACCAACTCTTCAAGGAGTTAAAATGAATTTCATCTGTAGCTCATAGCTTGCAACTTCTAATTTTTGTAGTGTAATACTATCATAATCCTGCTGTTTAAACATAAATGAAACTGAACCTGTACTATGATATTATTCGGTCAGAATGATGACTACTGCGCATAGGTTTGATTTCATGGCGAAAAATATTATAACTGATTGTGACATGATTTTAGTACAATTTTAGCTTATATTATCATGCAAGCTTGATTTTGCCTCCCAACTTTGGTTTGGCTAGAAGTTATATAAAGTAGTTTTTGCTTTAACTTGAAAATTTACACCAAATTTTAGACCAAACTTGCTTTTAGTGTAAAAACATCTAAACATAAATCACTTTACTTCTAGATCATTTTTACGAAATCTACTTTTCAAAATCAAGTTCAATTAAAATTATGTATGATGATTATTACACTTTGTCTTCAGCAGTCCTAATTTAGGACTCCTAATTGTTTTATGATGCTGCTCATATTAAAGACAGGGCACCTGCATGTGTTAATTGACAATTACAATTGTAACTTCGATATATTGTCGCATATGCAGGCTGGAAGGGATCTAAGATTCATAAGTCTTTCAATGAGTGGATGCTTATGCGGAGGTGCACTGGTATTATTGGTAACGACTTTTCTTGATCTCTTAGGGTTGCATATGATATTATCTTGCTTGACCAATTTTCCCCGGACTGTAAACACCTGCTACTAGCCACGAACGAGGTGCAAAATAGGGATGATAAGATGTGGATAATATATTCTTGAAAGAATAAACACAACAGCGGGGTATTAGTGAGTTTGTTACAGAAGTCATGCTAGGAGTTTAGATACTAAAATGACGCAAATTTGTCAATTTTGTGGAATAAGAACACTAATGATGTACTATTGTTTATATTTTCCCCTCACTGTGTTCCCTTTTCGCTCATCAATTCTGTGAGAGAAAACCTAACAACCCAATATTTCATGATGCCAGATCTTGTGTAGCAGATATGGTTTGCAAGGCTGTTGGGTTTCCCTCGCATTATTTCAATGGGTAAGAATAAGATCTCAGCTTGCATCCAATTAAAGTATTATCACTAGTTCATTAAATGTTAATGTATCATGTTCTTGAAATATTATAATTTGCGTATCTTATTTTTTATAGGCTCGGTTTTCCATGGCCCTCCTGCGACTTCTTTCTCCCAAAGGCATTTTATACTCGGAAGATATAGACCATAACAGAATACAAAAGCATAGAACTGCTTAGTCTAGGTCTTAATAGACAAATGTTATATGTTAGTCCGAATTAGTGTTACAAATTAGCCATACAAGATGATTGATTCACATTACATTTACACTGTCAAACGATGCTGTGCTAGCAACATGCTCAATCTTACTCATGTATTATAATTAGTAATATACCTGCCCAATGCACGGGCGACGTTAAAATTTTACGATTTCTATTAAAGATAATTACAAAACAATGTTACATAATATAGTATAGAGTTGTTTAGTCTTTTCTGGCGTTAGTGCTTTCTATTGATTTGTGTTGTTAAAACTTTTGTTATTCATGTTATTAGAACCTTAATATCTTTTACCTAGTTTATTTTTTAAAGTATATATGTGCAATATTTTGCACCTAAATTTGCATATTTATTTACTATTTTTAAATATAAAGCATAGTATTCTAATTAATAAATTATTTCAAATATTTGTTTATATGTGAAAATTGTTGAGATTGTAAATCCTTGTGTCAAAGCAGTGTAACTCGACAAAAACAAGAATTAGTCGAATTAGTCTAATGTGTGTGTGTCGAATTGTTTAGATGTCAAGTGTCGAAGCTGATTGTTTGACATAGAATTTTGATTTAGACTAAAAGTAGTAATTTTGAATTTTTGTAATTTTGTGTTTTCTTCTATTATAAATAGAGAGGTTAACTACTATTTTGTAATAATTTGTATTTACAAATTTTTTGCAATTGCAAAGTGAATAAAAAAGTTTTTTACTGTTTGTTGACGAAGATTCTGCAGTTGAAAATCATTCTCTTCTTTCTTTGAGTTTGCTAAACTCTTTCTTTCTTTTTCGTTTTTCATTAAAGTTGTTGTGCATAATTTTTTTTGAGATCAAGATTGATTAGGAATTCTCAAAAGATTTTGGGTTAATTCCAACAAAAATTGTCTCCATTGTTCAAATTTTCAAGCTCTGTGCTTTGTTCCAATACATATATCAAATTTCTTCATTAGTTTCTATACTTTTTTCGAATTTTGGTGCCTTAGAAGCCGACATAAAGGGGTAGATGTCAATGTTGGACAGATACTTGGATACTAGTTGTATACCAACATGGATTATGTCTAATTTCCAACACATGAAGATTCGATTACAGGTTCAAAAAGTGTTATTTTTCTCAAAAATTCATGGGCCAACATGGCTAATAACTCAGAGAACTCTACTGAAGAAGATCCATCATATTTATATATGACAGATTTTCAACAAGTGGCCACCAAATCCAAAGGAAATAAAAAAAAGAAGAAAGCTAAATCTAAGGAAGTTTCATGCTCCAAGGTTAAAGCTGGGTCCAAAAAGACTTCCTCATGAAGTGCTTTTTCTAGAATGTGAGAGGTCTAGTCAATTCCCCGACGAAATTGGCGTTAAAGATTTTTTTGTTTGAAATTACATAATCTGAATTTCTGTCTTCTTGTTGAGACTTGTATGTGTTCACTTCGTTTTTCCCACAAATTTTGGGACAGACTGGATCTTAAGTTGTTTGCTGTGAATGATAGGATCACTCTTGAACATAATTTATGGTGCATTTGTAAGAAAAATATTTCCCCTAATGTCCACTACATCATTGATCAGTTGGTGACTTTTTCCATGGTTTTTGAGAATCTGCAGGTCTTCTTTGTCGTGATTTATGCCTCTACATCCTACAGCAAACGGAGAATTCTTTGGAGTGATTTCTCCAATGCTTTAAATAATAACTCTGCTTCTTGGTGTTTAATTGGAGATTTCAATTTGATTCTATGGTCGCACGAGCATAGAGGCAACCATGCTCCTCGGAGCACTCCCATGGATGATTTCAAAGCTTGGAAAGAGCAAAATAAATTGGTGGACTTCATAGTGAAGGGCCCTGCTTTAACCTGGTATAATGGCAGGTCGGGTTCAACATCGGTTTAAAGGAAGTTAGACAGAGCTTTTGGTAACTCTGGTTTGTTGGATGCTTGTCAAACAATTGTTTCTACCAATTTACCTAGGCTTTGCTCATATCATCACCCGATCTTGATTGAAGTTTCTTTCTCTCCACTAAGGTTGCCTCTTCTTTCAAGTTCTTGGAGATGTGTTCGCGTCATGACAATTGCAGAAGTGTGATTGCTGAATCCTAGAATACTAATGTGGTTGGTTGTCTTATGTATGTGTTGAGTAAAAAACTTCAAATTCTCAAAGTCCGACTTAAGCAATGGAATTGGGACAAGTTTGGTAATATCCATAACAAGGTCAATTAGAATCTTAGGCAACTGTAGGATATTCAGGCTAGGATTCATATTGAGGGTTCTTCAGATAATCTCAGAGAACAAGAGAAAAATGTCACCATTCGATTGGAAAAGAACCAATGTATACAAGAACAATTCTTGGCTGAAAAGGCTAGATTGCAATTGCATATCTCTGGGGATAGGAACACTGCTTTCTTCCACAGGATGTCAAAAATTAAATGATCTCGTAGTGTCATCACCACCCTTAAAGATGGAGATAATTACATTACTGATCCAGGGGATATGCCAAAGTTGGCTGTTGATTATTTCACTAATTTGTTTTGTTTTGCAGGGCCTGTTCAAGATTTCTCAATGGTGGATGATTTTATCCCTCCTCTGATGAATGATAATCTAAACTCCCTCCTTGCTTTTGCGCCTTCGAATGAAGAAATTTTTGGAGCTGTTAAGAGTTCCAACAAGTTCAGCTCTCCTGGTCCAGACGGCTTTAGTGGAGTGTTTTACCATCTCTATTGGGATATTATCAAGGACGACTTCTACAAAGCGGTTTCTCAATTCTTTATCTCGGGTTGGCTACTTCCAAATTACAATGTGTGTGTGCTGTCATTCTTATTCCCAAGTCGAAAGATGCAATGTCGTTAGATCAGTTTCGTCCTATTACTGTCAAATTTCAAATACAAAATTATCACAAAAATATTGGCTGATCGATTAGCTTCTGTTATGCTTTTTTCGGTGTCTAAATAGCAGAGGGGAATTTGGAAGTAGCCTAAAATACATGACAAATCATGAATACGAACATGTTAACAATAATTTTCTATTCTCACTTTTTTTATAAACAGTTAGGATGTTTAACTTCTTTCCTTAAGGTTAATCTTTAAAAGAAAGAGGAAACCCCAAACACTCCCTTAAGGAGACAACCAAAATTTGAAAACCATCTTTATTCACACACAAAACTGTATCTACCTTGCTCTTTCTTTGACAATAAAATGTTCTTCACCACCCAACCCTTTCCCACCATTTGTTCAATCAAATTACCTATATCCCTTTCAGCACTTCTCTTGCAATCCTCAACAATTACAGGCCAGTCCTCAAGTGCTGAGTTTGATGCGTTGTTCCCGAGAGTCCTTCTGATGTAGCAAGCCTAAAAATTGATTCATTTTTTTCGAAAAGAAATGTGTCATTCGAAAAGATGATTAGCTAGCGGTATTGGTACATAGATCATAATATTGATAACAGTAGATGAAAAACCAATAAGAATAGTTTTATTACCTGCAGCAAACCAGTAATTATATGCACTGCTTCGGCTCCTTCGCGGATGGAAAGAAGAATACGATTCTAGAAAATCACCACACAAAAAGAAAAAGAAAAACAATTAGAATACAAAACTACTTTATAGAAAGTTGAGAGAGAGAATAAACCCACCAAGATAATCTCATTATTCTTATATTCACCTGAGTTCTTTCTAATCCTTTGAAGATCTCCGTGCATACAAAGTAATAATCCTCGTCGGTTATGCTTTGAATTGTCTTCATTGACCAATTTGGTATTTCATCCTTGGGATTTATGCACCCTATTCTAATTGGCCACGAGCTTTTTTTACCTGAATCAAATCTCATTAGTTGACTGACTATAAACTCATAAAGGAACTCTCTCTAGTCCTATTTATAAGAGAAAGTTTATCTTTTAGATTCATTGAGTGATCAATCTACCTGATGTATTATATATAATAAATACCGTAATTATTCAATGAATCTAAAAAATAAACTGTCTTATAAATAGGACCGCAAGGAATATTAAACATGAATATAAGAGTCGGTAGCATATCACCTTTAACTCCCAAAAAGTCGATTACTTCTTTCTCGCTCACCACCGCCGGTGAAGGCACGTATCCGTTCTCAATCCAAATGCTCAGAATGATTTCAAGCCTATCCTAAAACAATAATACACCAACAAGACAGTAAAACACATACTCTCGATAAGTCCTACAGCATAAAGCAAACACATGTGTTATATCAAAATAGACAATGAAGGGGCACCGCATTTCATTTCTTCCAAAATCACTGAGTTTCAGTTTCTCAAGTATAAAACTAGAAAATGTTAAATTTAAACCTACCTTAGTCAAGGTTTGCAGATGGACATGCTTTAGTCCTTGATAAATCCCGAAAAGGTCCATAGATGCAAAAAAGGGATAAACAAAGAAATGGAGACCTGTTTGTGGTCTTGCAAGCCACATGTTAACCAAGGCCGCAAGCATGAGACCAAGGATGTCAAAGCACACTGTTTGAATCTGAAATATAATAAATATTCATTATACAATCCACAGATATGCATATTAAAAAATGGTTAACAAAAAAAGCAAAAACACCCGTGCTAACCTGTGCCTTGGCAGAAATTTCACCAAGGTTGTCTGCTTTTGCGAAACTTTGATGAACAGCTGACTGCATAGACATAATGAAAAGTATCAAAATTTATAGGAAAGAAGTTTGTCAATTATCAAAAATATCGTCATGTGAATAGCTCTAAACCAAGAAAACTTTTTGAAAAAGAAAAGATGTATTAGAGAACTTAATACGGTTCTGGCTTGAGCCTTACCCGAGTTGCTAAGTAGCATGCCAGGCTTATTTGTTTAGCAATATTGGCAATAGTTGCAAGCAGCAGGAATAATCGAGGAAATGCAGGAGTGAGTAACTCAAGTCCAATACTTCCAACAAAAAGAACAGATGTGACCAACCTGACCCTCTATTTACAATAGGTACACACATGCCCAAACAAAGATTAATCAGATTTCATTTATGATTAATGCATGTTAAATGAAGTTTCAATTATCATCATGTACTTCACATCATTGAACTTCGGTTGTTCATGTGATGTTTTTATTCATTAAATGCCAATCTAGTGTTGGCAGGTGCAGAAACTGCTTGCTGAGAGCCGATAGAGGAGAATTGATATCTTTGAAAATGAAAGTAAAAATACCTTTAAATTAGTATCAAAAGCAGAAGCTAGGCTAGCAGTGTATATGCATCTGCTTAGTCGTCCAAGACCGTCTTTTAGGACCCAATTAAGAGCAGCAGCTGATGGAAGAGAACTGGAGTATCCAACTCCTATGGCGGTAAACATTGCCTGAGATTAATTGATTGTAACATAGTAAGCTTATGTCCAAGATAAACAAATATAACAACACCTATAAAAGAACTTTAATGTAGCTTAATGGTGAATACAAAGTGCAACACATACATGCATGATGCATCCATAGAACGTGTCGTGTCCAGTGTCCGTGTTTCATACTTATCAGCATTAGACTGAAACAAAATTTGAATTTTCCAACACAAAAATTGATCAACAATTTCTATGAATCAAGCCAATCCACCACACAACATGAAACAAAACAGATCATATGAAAAAAACAAAACCCACAAACAGTTTTAATACAAATAAACTATTGCCCCAAGAACACTAGCTTAGCTTCTGAACAAACAAAAAAAACCAACAATCTACAAAGCACCTGAGTAGCAAGAACTTGAAGTGCAGAGCTGAAAACACGATGAACCAGCTTCCACTTCACATAATCCATATAATTCTCAGTGACTTCTCTCGGAATAAAAAAGTCCCTAAGAACAGAACCAAACACCCTCACCAATCCATCCTCGTCAGAAGAACCAGAACCACCATCAACAACGACCAACTCCAAGCCGCCACCATTCCAAAAGAACCTAGTGACTTTGGTGGGACTCCTAACCACAAAGGGTAACCGAATCGGTTGCAAACCCTTCTCAACACCTCCATCAGAAGAGAGACAGTCAAGAGAGGTTCTGAGAGATGAAAAAAATTGAACTCTTTTAAAAATCAGATTTTTATAACTCGGTTTTGAATGTTTGGTGGTGAGGCTGTTCATACGAAGGTTCCATGATATGGGGTGGAGGAGATTGGTCGGTTTTTGAAGAGATAATGGCATGAGAATTTGAAAGTGCAACTATAGAATCCTCAGGTGGAAGAATAAATTAAGCAGAGGATTAAAGAGAAAAAGAAGAAGAGGTTGTCTGGCTTTTCACTCTGTTTGCTTATGTGTATACAGGTTTTGAGTAAAGAGAAAAAGAAGAAGAGGTGAAATCGGAGAAGAAAGTGAGGGGAGGAAAAAGGAAAAGAAACGAAAAAAGGAAATTGAATTGAGGAAGGAGAGAAAGAGGAGGGTGAATCGCAAGACAGAAGGAACAACAGGGGAGAGAGAAGAGAGGACCGTGGGTTGCGCCGTTTTTGAGGGATTCGGGATTAGGCCCGGGCTGGACAAAATAAAACCATCCGAAGGTATCCCGGCCCGAATTCTATTGGGTATTTCAGGTCGGTTTATATTGGGTCAACGAGTCAGGCGGGTGATTGTTTCGGTTTAACATGGATTACTTTGAGTGGGTTCTGATAGAAATATTGAACCCGTCCGTCACCGAATCCGACCGAGTCCATTTAATATATATTACACAAATATTACTATTTTTTTACTCATTTTCTTACCAGATTAAAAAACCCTAAGTTCACTCTCTCACTCTCTCGTTACTCCACCGTGCATGCTGCAGCAAGGTAATTTTCATATATAGGAATTTTTTTGAATTCTTATGTTGAAATGTGAAGAGGTTTTTATGGATTGATTTGTTGTTATATTTTAGTTTGTGAAAGGTCCATGCTTATGAAAGCAGGCGAGTGATTTTCGAGAGCTGGTTCGTCAAGTATAAGGTTGACGTAATCTTTGCTGGCCACGTCCATGCTTATGAAAGATCGGTATGTTTTTCATCCTTGCATGTTATTTTGGTACTGCTAGCTTAGGCAAGATGCTTCTTTACTCATGTGATGTTGGATTCTTATGTGTCCAATGTTTCTGTCCTGCTTTCGGTATCGATTCTCGAATATAGATTATAACATAACAAGCGGTACCCGGTATCCAGTAGCTGACAAATCAGCACTTGTGCACATAACAGTTGGAGATGGAGGAAATCAAGAAGGTCTTGCTTCTAGGTAACTTAACTTAAACAAATCACTTTGTCATCTATATGCGCATTCATATTGCAGTGTTTTAATTTTGTTATTGGTCGTGAAGGTTTACGGATCCTCAGCCAAAATAATCTGCATATCGTGAAGCAAGCTATGGACACTCCACATTGGATATAAAAAATAGAACCCATGCTATTTACCACTGGAACCGCAATGATGATGGCAAGAAAGTTCCAACTGAATCATTCGTATTGCATAACCAGTATTGGTAGGTTCACCAACCATTTTCTTGGCTTAGCTATCACAGACAGTAGCAGGGAAAAATCTGTCAAGATTTTTCTGTTTTTCTGTTGTGATGAATTACATGATTGAAACTTGTCATTGAGTTTAAACAGAAGTTGAGAATTTTTATTCTTCCCTTTGCTGTGCGTGTATGTTGCTGTTGTGTATCTGTTTTTATGTACTGCTATGCTGCTCGCTCTGCGTACTTTGATGTTGCTATGTTTCTGCCTCTACGTGTTGTGTTTGCCGTGATGTTGTTTTCACTACGGCTGCTTGTTCTCAATTTTCTCTCTTTTCAATTTGTGAAACCGTGTGTAATGCTGCCCTACCTTGTATGCCGCTCTCTCCTTTTATAGGCACGAGCGAGGTTAATTTTACGATTCCGAATTGAATGCGAGATCACTCTGTTTTGGAAAGAATATCCTGTTGTAAACCGTGATTTTTTTCTTGCTCTGAACATGTGGATGATTTTTTTCTTGCTCTGAACATGTGGATGATAATTCAAGATCTTGCTGTTTCCTTGCGATTAATGGTGATGATTTAATTCCATTTTCGAATTGCTCATGTTTTGGAGATTAATGATTAATAATTCTTTGCCATTATGTGTGATTTCTGTCATGATTCTGTTATTGCCCTTTTATTGAATTCTGATTTTGAATTAAATGTGGGATTTGTTGTCGGTTCAATTTTGGAAAGACAATATATAATTTGCAATTTCATGATTATGTTTGATTAATCCCTTTGGTTCTTTCTCTTGATATATGATCTTATTTTTATTTATATTTAACCATATTTGATCCTGGGCATCTTGACTCACCATGAAGAATGATTTTATTCTGTTTTCGAATGTTTCCATTCTAAACTGAACATGTTTTGATCCATGTGATTGTGATTTGATGAGGATGATTTTCATGTCATGAATATACTTGATTGTAAATGCATCTAATCTAAATATGTTTTATGTCAAACAATCTCAAATAAAAAAAATAAAAAATTAGAATGATTTTAAGATTGGACTTAAATTATCAACTATCCGGAAAAAAAACCGATTTTACTAACCGAACTCGATTTAATCCGAACCTGTGAAAACCGAAAATAAACTGGTCGACATTTGGGTCAATGTATTTCACCTGAAGTTAAGAACGGTTTTGGGTTTTGGGCCCGAACCGATGCCCAGCCCTAGATTAGGGTTTCAAACCCTTCTCCCCTTTCAATTCAATTGACCGGATTGGGTTGGGTCCCGTGGGTTCATCACCATCGGCCCAACCCACCTTTTATTAGTCTTTTTGTTTTTTTTATTTCATTATTTTTTTTAATATGTAATTAATAATAAAATCACTAACTACTAACACAAATTAACCATTAACCTATATAAAATAAAAATCAGAAAAAAAATAAAAATAAAAAGAAAAGATTTAATTTAATTCAGCTTTTTGAAATAAATTTAAACTCTAGTTTATTTGTTTAGAATAGGTTTTAAATTTTAATTTTAATTAAAAAACCCACAAAAATATTTATTTAAATCTAACAAAAATCCAAAAACTTTTTTTAAATTAATTAATTAAACTTTTTTAGATATTTTAGTTTTTTTTAGAATTTAGGTTAAGTAAGTTACTTAACTAAGTCTCTCTTAATTTCTACTTAACTTATTTATTTTTCAAAAACAACAAAAATAATTTTTCACAAAAAAACCCATAAAAAAACTAACTATTTTTAATCTCTAAAATTCAATTTTATTTCACCGTTGCACCTACTTATAACCCCCTTAACCATAATTCACTATTTAACTTTCAAAGATGCCTATATTTTTAAGGAGTGTCTTGCTGCTACTTGTTTATGGGCTAAATCTATGTGGAGTAGTAACGTTCCTCCTAATAAATCTTTGATGGTTTGGAGGCTGGTTCATGACAAAATTCCTACGGAAGTTTTGGTTCGGACGAGGGGCATTCCTATGACTTCTTCCTACTATTTATGCAATTCGAGTGAGGAAAGTTCTGAACATTTATTCTTCCAATGCACTTATGGAAAATCTCTTTAGAGTTGGCTTTTACGGAACTCAAGTATCTCCTCTAATCCGAATTCTCTGGCTGATTTGTAAGCGATTTGTAATTCCAACTGCTCCAATCAAGTGGTGTTTGTTGTGAAAAGGACTTTTATTTACACGATCAACCAAATTTGGACTGCAAGGAATAAATTCAAGCATGAGAATTTACATCCGAACAAACAAAGTGATATTATCTTTATTCTGACACAAACCATGTTGTCCGGTAACAATGCTTCTAATTGCTCCTCAGTTTCGATTGTGGATTTTTTCTTGATCAAAGTTTTTGTTGTTACAATTCGTCTCCCGCATGCTCCCAACATAATTTAAGTTTTGTAGTGTCCCCCTATCTTGGGGTGGGTTAAAGCTAATTGTGATGGTGGCTTTGATTTGAATTCCAAAGACCGTGGATGTGGCAGCAATTTTTAGAAACAATTGTGACAATTTTATGATTACTTTCACGGAGAAATTACATACAAGTTCTTCAATTATGGGGGAGTTCTTGGCTGTTTTGAGCGCTCTTGATATTGATAAGTCTCGTGGTTGGAGAAAGATTTGGATCAAAACAGATTGTTTATTGGTTGTCAAATCTTGTCCCAACCATAAATTGATTTGTATTGGTCTTCGTAATAGATGGATTGAAAGCGCTACTGAAACTAAATTTGCTAATCTTATTTTCACGCGCATATTTAGGGAAGAAAATTCTTGCACTTTTTTTTGCTAATATAGGTATCCCCACAGATTCCTTAGTTACTTTTGACTCTATTCTGATTGGAATTAGAGGGGATTTTGTAAAGAATAGGCTAAACATGCCTTTCTTCAGGTTTTCTCATTTTTGATGAGGTTTTTTTGTTCATCCCTTGTAATCCCTTGGTTGTATCTCTTTCTTCTTTAATATAATAAGACTTTATTCAAAAAAAATTCCAACACACACGAGGATTCCAAAAGCAATAAAAATAGGAAGGGATTGTTTAATTTCCATAATAAATATGACGATTCCAAAAGCAATAAAAATAGGGATGGGGAGTTTAATTTCCAACATAAATATGTGTTATCTCATACTTTTGACACAAGCATTGATTATAAGGTGATAAGTTTTTCATATGATGATGAGTTTTATTACCAAAAAATTGAAGTGTTTAGTAATGACTATGAATATCTCGATGAATTTGACTTGTCGAGAAATAGTCCCAATGTTAGTCGAATTTTTAATCAGTAAGACCAAAGATTTTATTATTTTTGGGACTTAGAGAAATTCAGAGTGCTCAGATTGTTTATTCTTCCCACAATCGAATGATATGTAAATGGATAAGATGAAAGTTGCATGGAGACAATGACGTGGCATAATTTTCTTAGTCGACCGTTGCAGACAGCTAAGTTAAGACTAGTATATAAGTAGTGTTTTCTGATATTTTCAGAGCTCCGCAATTATACACAAATTTTGTAAACTCAAAGTATTTGTGTGTTTGTGAGAATATGTTCTAAGATCTTTTCGAGTTTAATCCCTTAAATAAAATGAAACTTGTTTTTATTTATCAAATTTCATAATAAACAATATAACGATTCCAAAAGCAATAAAAATAGGGAGGGAAAAATTCTTTCGGGTCATGAAACCAAATCACTACTTCATGATCGTCTTTTTTGTTTTTTCC